TATTTTTGAGTCCTGTTATAGCTATCTTTTTCGAGGTATCCGTCGGCCACTTAGTATCACCTTAACCTACAACACTAAAATGAATTGGCATTTTAATGTTTTACAAAAATGAGTCATCCGTCAGACCAGTTTTGATGTCCGGTGCACTGTCCATTTGGAGCCTTTTAAAGTGTAATTGATAGTTAACGTCTGCCAACTTTGGACCCGTTGTTCATTCACTTCAAGGTTATTGCCTACTCTCTTGCGTAGGTATAGAATCGGGTCAATCATTCCTGGCCGTTTTTCCAGTGTGCCATGGTCTCGCAGTCTGCTATGCCTGATCGAAGGTTTCTTGGCAGTGAGGGCTTTCGCATTATCTCAGCATTAGCAGGCGCGTATGACAGTGTTCCCACTGCAGTGGAGACGTAGATGTCTGCAAAGGTTGAAGTAGATTAGGGATTTAGTTTTGCCATAAAGGCGGTTGAGACTGATGTTTAAGCCGATTGTGGTGGTGGACATTGAGGTGAATCGGACGGTGTCCTATTAGCTTAATTCCTTCAGTGAACGTCAGTTTACAATGTGCATATGTTGATGGGTTTGGACCTTAAGTGCGCTAATTCCTGGCGCCACAGTTTCGATTTTTTTGCCTCCTGGTGTTAATATCACATTTGGTTGGTTTCCAAGATTCCTTATTCAGTTTCATGACAGTACGCTAAACCTGCCAATCCTATAACAAGAACTTCCAGGGTCTGCGGTTTTCCGAATCCCTAAGATAGGCTTGAGCAGTGTTTTTATATCTTCGGTTTTTGCATACCTTTGAGAATGCACGCATAGCGGCTCTCATCAGCCATCCTCATGAAATGGCTGCTCAATCTCAGTTAAATCTATTTGAGTAAAGCATAGATTTCGAATACTCTCTTTCCTTTTAGAAATCAATTTGTGGGCACTTTCATTCCAGTCACCATTTAGTATTTTTCGAAAGCAACCAAGAGGAAATTAATTTAGTTTGCTTGTCTGACGTTCGTACCTTATTCAGCTCCTGCCCCCTCCCCCACAAACGACCCTACTTAGTATGACAGCCTTGTGAATGATTTGGAGACCGCTCCTGCATTCATGCTCCACTGCATGTCTGCATCGGTTATGGCGTTAAGTACGCAGTTTTCGTCGAATAATAGGCCGTTGAATCTAGCCTTAAATATTTCCGTTTCAGCTTGAAAACTTTGTATTTTGAGCAACCTACCATTGTTTTGGCAGTTAATTACGATTCAATATA